CGCGTGTAGTGTAAGGGCACTGGAGAGAATACACGTGAAGCTCGTGGGCTTGCATTTCCTTGGGAGGAGGCTGAGGACATCTTTGGTGGGGAGGCAGCAGGCCACTGTGGCCAGGACGGTCTTCCAGGAGGAAGGGCTGGCATGAGCAGAGGAGAGAAGGCAGGAGACTTACTTGGGAACCTGAGTGATTCCATCTAAGGGGTGGCTGGGGAGAAGGTGGGCTCAGGGCTCAATGGTGTCATGCTGCTGAGAGATCAGAAAAGGTGAACCACAGCTAATGCCTTAAAATTTAAAACTGAGGGATGCCTGGGTGGCTCGGTTGGTTAAGCGTCTGCCTTTGGCTCAGGTCATGATCTCAGGGTCCTGGGATGGAGCCCCACATCAGGCTCCTTGCTCAGTGGGGAGCCTGCCTTTCCCTCTGCCTGCTACTCCCCCTGCTCATGCTCTGTCTCTCTCTCTCTCTCTCTGACAAATAAATACAATCTTTTAAAAAAAAAAAAAAAAAGAAAGAAAGAAAGAAAGGAAAAAAAAATCATAAAACTGAGCAATTGACCTCAGCCATGTGAGTTTTTCAGGAAAATGGCTGCTGCCCCACATGGAGGGCGGGAGGCAGGCTGAGCGTGTTCTAAAGTGACTACTTTGTGGGGACCTGGAGGTGAATAAGCCACCAGTTTCGGTGTCAGAGCACCAAGCAACCAGAAGGGAGCAGTGAACCTGAAGGCAGAGAGGGTTTGTTTCTCTTTGGAATTTTAGGATCGAGAGACGGAAGCTTTGAAAGCAGAAACCCAGCTCGGTTTTAGATCTATGGATCTTAGTTTAGATCTATAGTTTCAGATCTATAGAAAGGTTGCAGAGAGAGTATAGCGAGCCCCCCATTCCCCATCAGTTTCCCCTGTGATTAACACCTCTGGGACCACATTGCATGTGTCACAACTAAGAAGAAAACTAACGTGGTACATTACTGTTGCCTAAACCTAAACCAGGCTCCATCAGACCTGACTTGTTTCACCGGTTAAGACCCTCTTTCTGTTCCGGGATCCCAGCCATGATACCACGTGACAGTTACCATGTCTTCTTCATCTCTGATCTGTGACATGTCCGGTCTTCCCTGGTTTCTCAGAGATGACCTTACACTTTGGAGAAGCATGGGCCAAGTATTTTGTAGAATGTCCTCAACGTGGGTTTTTCTCTTGGCTATCATCTAAGAAAAAACAAACATGCATGAAGAACTCAAGCATTTCCAACACGACAGTGGGGGAAAGCTCTCTTTTTTCTCTCTGCACTGTCAGATAGATGGGCCCATTTGGGGGCCTAAAGGCAAAGAAGCTTTTCTTGGCAAAACCAAAATGTTTCCCCTTGGCTTCCTTTGGGAACAAGGTAACCAGGTAGACTCGGCTGTGCCTCAGGCTGGGAGTCGAGGCTTGGAATTCTCCACTTCCATCCCCACACACAGTTGGTGATCTTGGACAGTTTGCTGTCCTTTTTGGGAGGGGCCCTGTGAGAGGAACTGGTTCACTGAGCGTCTCCATCAGACCTGCTCGGATCCTGCATTGTTGGAAAAGCAAGATGGCAGCCGTGGCAACGGTGTGGCCAGCGTTCCTGTCATAGGTCAGCTCGTTCACCCTGGAGGAAACTTGCAACTTTTTGGCCTCCCAGACCCCTGTTTTCTTAGTTTATGGAGTCCCTTCATAATCAACTCTGTGCCTTTTTTTCAAAGTGAAAGCTCTCTCTGGTTCTTGCTGTTTGTTTTTTCCTAGTGTTCTAAGTAGGTAGGGGTGAGAGCCAGGTCGGGGGGCTGAGGCGCCCTCCAGCACCACGCCAAAAACTGAATTCTTCTAGAAAGTACTCCAGAGCCCCTTAGATAGTGCCACATGCACAACCGGGAGCCATTATTAGGTGGTGACCAGTATATGTGGCCCTGTGACCCCAAGCCATCCATCCTGACCTGGCAGACTAAAGCAATTTCTCCCAATAGCATTCCAGAAAATAGGGCAGCTAATGGCTTACATATCTTCCCCTTAGGCCAATTAACTCAGTAATCCAATCCAAAAAGGCCTTAAGACTCACTCCTCTGATTTCTATGAACCACATGCTCCCAGTCCTGCCTCTGACCCTCCCTTCCACCTGGTATCTTGAAGCCTCCTCCTCTTTCTCTCTTTCCGTGAGTTTATAGGCCTAAGAAACTGAGATCAATTACTGCTTTTTCCATTTCTCCAGAGCCAGCTGCTTTTTCTTCCTCATTTTAGTGAAACGCTGTGGTTTTGACAACCAAGGGCACATGTGTGGGATCCCCAACTCTCTCTGGCCCTCTCCTTGGCCAGGGTGAGACCTGAAGTCTTTCTTCTCCTGGTTCCAGTTCTCCAGCCTCGTGTCCTTCTTGCCACTGGTGTGTGTAAACCAGAGAAATGATCGGACTTAACACAGATTTGGCTCAGGGTCCTTGAAATGACACAATGGAAGAGGCCTAACCATTGCAGGTGTGTTTTGGGTACCCCTGCTGTTATCCATGGAATCATTCCCGAAGAGAAATAATTGCACATAATTGAGAAAGCATAGAGCAGAAAATACGGGCCTCTCCTCAGTCCCAGGTGTTCTCAGCAATAGCACCAGCAAGATGAGGGCAAGAGGGAGGACTGAGGACAAGGTTTGTGGCCAAGCGCAGACTGAATTTGAGACCTCCCTCTGGTGCTTGGGAAGCCCCTGCCTATAGTGCTCTCAGGTTAACACGATCTTGTCCACAGGGAGGCCCGCGGCCTCAGTCTCCCATAGTCCAGGGCTCTCATTGGGCCTCCATATGTTGTGGGGAGATGAGAAAGTATTGCCCTCTTTCCTTTAACTCTTCCAGGACCCCAAGGGAGCTAGGCCAGGGCCTGACCACCACAGTCAGGACCCCACTTAGTGTGTGCTTGTCGTGGACTCAGTGCACAGGGATGGGGATGTTGGAGCTGGCCCCACTGTGTCCCTGCCCCAATGGTGGCACTCCTGAGTCAGGAGAATCCAGTCTGAACGAGGGTACCCAGGCTAGAAATGGGGGAGACGCCTACTTCTACACCACCCTCGTCCCCAACTGCTGGAGCTATGTCTGCTGTCTTTGGATTAGGCCAGGAGGCCCTCACTCACCTGCAGGTCTTTTGTGAATAAGAAGGAAAGTTTGGCACTGTGAGTTTTTCTTCTCTGCACTGTGTAGCTATGGGTCACCTGGTGTCCTTACTTCTTACTGATGTTTAGTGTTGCCTTCCATCAGATGAGAGCTTAGAGGAGATGCTGAATGACTGTCCTCTGCAAGGAGGGGTGCAACCCTGGGGACATGAGTGCTGACCGAGTTACTCTCATGAGGCCCACTTGGTGGTACCTCCCTCGGAAGGACTTTAATGTCATCTCCTTTATTTCTACCCATACTTAAATGGTAAGGAGGGGCCACATGTCACCGTTCCTGTTCTACAAATGGGAAAACTGAGGCAGTAGGACCCTGAGCCAGGAATTCCAAAGCTGTGGACACACAGTGCTGGAGGTGTGGGCAAGGGTTTGACCCCACTGCAGGCCAAAGCCCTGGGTCATCACATCCGCTGTTGCCGCCTCCACCCCGCACACCTGCACCCACTGCCAGTTCCCTGGGAAAAGGAGAGGAGCAAACAGTTACAGAGAGAGAGGCCTGGCCACACCATGGCTGGCCCACTCCCAGGGCAGAGAACCAACCTCCCTCGGGAGCAGAGGCTCTGACACAGGGCACCTATGTCAAGGAGGGTGGCCTGGGAGCCACTCACTCATCCCATGGGCCCTGCAGTGCAGCCTGGGAGTCACTTTCACACAAGACCCAGGCCGGGTGAGAGACGAGGGAGCTCAGCTCCGCACTGGGGGTCGAGGACCGCTTGGCCGGGGACCACCTGCACAGGCCTCTAGTTCAGCAGTGCCAGGCAGGGATGTGGCACCTTGGTTGTACTTCCTAGTGGGAAGCTCTGCCCTTCAGGGTCCAGTATCTCAACTTGCCCACCTACAAAATGGGATTTGGGGGAAGATTGGGGAATTACTCACATGTGTCTTACCTGATGTTTATAAGGATCACTCATTTGGAAGCGTGTGTCTAAAACCTAGAATGGGTCTGGTTAGCCTCTAAGGTTTGTCAGAGACAAAAGGAAAGGACAAATGTGGGCCACTCCGGGGAGACTCTGCTGTGTCGCTTACTGAGCCGTGTGATTTCGTGAGGAATCACAGCTGCCCTCATGCGTGCTAGACTGTGCCCGCTGAGCATCTGTCGTCTTTTTTACCGTACAGTGCATATACGGGGTAGTGCATGAAACACGAATGGTTTAAAGCCTAATTATGACATCAGTATCCACGGCACCACCACCCAAGTCCAAAGCTAGACTGTTCCCAGTGCCCTAGACCCTGCCCTTGCCAGTGCTATTCTCTCCCTCCCCCTCCAGGGCACCCCACATTTGACTTTATGATAGTCGCTGTCTTTTCCTTTTCCTTTGTCATTTACATGGACCCCTAAACAGTAAAGTGATTTGTAACTGTAAGAAATCACACTGCATGTGTTTTTGTGTCCCTTGCTTCTCTTGTTGGACACCGTGATGTGCTCATAGAATTGCATGTGGCTAACCGTGGCCCATGTTCACAGCTGGGTAGTGTTCCAGCATCGGTGAAGCATCCTTTCCGCCGCTGGGCTGCTGGTAGGTAGTGGCTCCCCGCCAGCTGATATTTTTAGCAAATGGATTGATCCCCACACTGGCTGCTGTTACTAGCAGGTGCACAGTGAGAGGCAGAGACCGAGGGTGGTCCCAGAGCCCTTTGCAAGCCTCCCTTCTGGTGTCGTGGTGCTGTGCTCCCCTGGCAGGACTAACGCCCACATCTGGGATCTCTTGCAGCTTGCCGGAATCGCAGTCCTTGCCGTTGGACTATGGCTCCGATTCGACTCCCAGACCAAGAGCATCTTCGAGCAAGACAGTCAGCCTTCCAGCTTTTACACAGGTGAGTGGGGAGGAGGCGCTGAGTACCTCTCCTTAACTGCGGAGATTCTGTGTTGATCCAGGGATGGGCCTTGGCAAAGACTTTTCCTCTGGCCCCTCGGTTGGCCTGTCCTGTCCTTTTCAAGCCACGCTTTGTGCAGTCCAGCCCACAAATTTGCATTTGACTGTTGTGGTTTCTTTTATCATGCTGACTAAGTTTGGCGTCCTGACCATCTCCCCCAGTAGGAAGCTGGCTCTGCCCAAGTTGCTGCCGCTCTTGAGGGCTTAAGAACCTCTGTGCTTGTCCCTGACCCTCTCTTAATGCCCTGTCTTCGTGATCTTACTCAGTTCCTTAATTCAAAAAACTTTGTCCTGGGCATCCAGACTACCAGGAGTAGGAGAGGTGAGCCCTCCCCAGTGTGCAGATAGGGGCTCTGAGACCCCAGACCACCTGCCTCCTGGACCAGACAGTCAAAATGAGTAAGAGTCTAGCAGAGATGCCAACCTGGCAGACCCCGGGGGGTTGGTTAATGCCGCTGGTGTTCGAGGGTATTTGGCGGGTATTTGGTTTTATTTGTTTGTTTCCTGAAGTGCTTTTGCTTTAGGGCAAAGGTTTGCACTTTAAACACAAACAGACTTAGCAGCTTACATGGGGCTCCTGGACATCTTTTTATCTTTTCTACCATTATTCTGCCCCTTCCACCCACTGCCAAGGCTTGTCAAATGCAATTCCCGAGTTTCTAGTCAACTCACAGAATACAAAATCCCACAGCTCTTTCTGTTTTGGGATCGGAAACACTCATTTACGAGAAATAAGAGCAGCCCCCTATTTTTAGGACAATGCTGCCGTGTCATCAGGCTCAAAGTGTAAGTTTGGTCATTTCCTTCCCACCCACCAAAGAAGTTATTTAAAAAAAAAAAGATGGAGAACACAGCCTGAAGAGAGTGAGCCCCCAGGCCTTTTGGAAGGACGCAATGGCTGGTGGGCACAGGGACCCCCTTCCGGCCTCCCAGACGAACCTGAGCCAGCACCCCCCCCCATAGGCCACTTGGCTGCACGCGCCTGGCACTGTGGAAGTTTCCCTGCTTGTTTTGCCTGTTGCTGTTGTTCTGGGGATTTTTCAGGGTGTGTCTCCCACTTTCCGGAAAGAAAGTGAGGGAAAGAATAGCACAAGTATGTTTTCTGAAAAAACTGTGCATGCACGCGCGCGCGCACACACACACACACACACACACACACACACACACACACACACACGGAGTTTTTAGTGAGTAGGTCTCCAAAGTGCCCAGACTTGTTTTAGCAACAGCATTTTTGCAGGGTGGCAGGGGAGGGGGGCCTGGAATGCTGCCCTGTGGAGAGGAAGCAGCATAGGCTGTGCTGAGGGGGACCTGGTGCCCTCCTGCCCTCCTCCTTGTCATGCCAGGGAGCTGTGAGTCCTCTGGGGGAGACAGGAGAGCAGATCTGCCCAGGAATGGAGAAGCGGGTGGCAGCATTGGGCCTGCGTCCTGAGGAGAGTCTGGTCTCCTGCTCCTGCTGCCGTTGTCCTCTGCAGAGTGCCTGGCAGGCTTCGGTCTTTTGCTTCCTAGGACTCTGGCTAATTCCCCATGTTTCTGGATCTAGGAGGCAAGGCTCTCATTGGCGAGTGGAGGAACCGGGAGGAAGACAGCTCCTCCTCCGCGTGTTGCTCACTGTCTCACGTGTGTTGTTACGTGATTTAATCCTTGTAACTCTTTAGGATACATGGAATGATTCCCACCTTATCAATGAAGGAACCAAGGCCCAGGGATTAGAGTACATCCTGAGCTCGTACCCATCAAGAGGCAGGGCTAGGATTTGAACCCAGGCCTACAAAAGCTGTTTCTTGGCCTACCCGTGCTAGATTGTGGGGAGGACTCCCCATGTAGGAAGAGAAAGTATCTCTACCAACTGGATGTTCCCTGTTGGGGAGGTGGGCAGGGTGGAGGCTAGTCTGACCTTTGACCTCACCCAAATTGTAGTTGGGGGAGGGAAGCGCCCAGCACTGGTGGCCCTGGCCAGTGGGTGACAGGTGGGGAAGTCACGCAGGATGGCAGGAGAGTGACAAGCACATGGTTGGAGGAGCCATGGCCTTCCTCTGGGAGTCACAGGGTGCAGGATGGCCGTGATTCTACCCAAAGTGACCAGAGGCACAGTTCCAAAGAGACACAGCGATCCCTAGTTGGAGGCCAGCGACCACTGCTCCCTCAGCTCCAATAGAGGAATACTGGCACTTTGCTTCCCTGGGAAAGAGCTCAGCTTTGGAGAGTGTGCTTGCAGAAGCCCAACAAAGGAGGGCAATGCAAGGGACACTCGAGCATCAGTCAGACAAGTGGCCACTTGGGTCTGGCTGGGCCTTGCACTTTACCGAGTGTGCTGGGAAACAGAGTCACCGTCACTCATGGGCAGAGGTCCAAGAAGGCGTCACCCTTCCCCCTTGAGCTGTGACACCAGCCTTTGTATTGACCCATGTCCCCTCTTCTGGCAGAGTGCCCACTCCACCCCTGTCGATATTCTGGGCATCATGGGGTGACCGTACCTTGCACGGGGGGCCTCCCCATCTGCCATGCAGCCCACTGGCCAGCCTGACCGCGCAACCGACCCTTCGGAAAACCTGAAGAACCCAGGGGTGGATTTTCTCCAGGGTGGGCAACGGCTTTTAAAATAGAGAAAGAATGCATAACCAGTCCGAGAAGCAAGTGAAAAAAGAAACTTTCCAACATTCACAACAGTCAGTAGTAAATCTGGAGCAGCTGACGGCCTTATATGGGCCTTCTCCCCAGTTCAGGCCCTGGGAGATTCAGCCCGTCAGCAGTATCCATAATCCCAGGCCGCAAACACATTGGGGAACTTTATTTTCTTGGTCCCAGGCCAGCAGCCCTTCTTAACTCCTTGGCGTCCTTCCAGAACCATAGCCACTGACTGAGGGCATCCGGGGACCCCAGGCAGAGGCTGTGGATGTCCTGGTCCACCCTTCCCTGGGACCATTCCTCTTCTTAGGACAAGGTGCCTAAGAGTTTCCAGGGTACGTGGCTTTTGCCCTCAGCGAGCTTGCGGCCTCGGGCGCTTTGTTGCTCTGTGCCCAGTTCTCCCCAGCCCGAGACTGGCAGAGCTCACACACCCACAACCTCTCCAAAACAGAAATATACCGTGCTTGGCAAGTGGGGCATCACCGTGATGCTTATATTAGTGAGAACGGCCACCTACGGGACAAAGCGGGACCAAGAGAGAGAGCCACTGGGGAGCCACGTAGGGTTCCTTTGAACCCCTGATTGGGTATTTGGAGATAAGAAACTGTTGTTGTCAGTGGCAAGCTGGGGCCGGGGCAGGAGGCCGATGTGTCCCCCTGGAGCTGAAGCCCAGAGCCCTGATACGCAGGTGAAAAGAACACTCAGTTTTGTGTATAAAGGACATCCCAGCATATGCTTCTGCTCTACCAAAGGCTTTTCTTCTCCTCTGACCAGGCCTATAATGTCAGCCTGAAGAAAGAATCAACAGCCCTTAAGCAAATTAATACAGTAATCCTGGAGAAGGCTCCATGACGAATAACTTTTTCCATGAGTCAGACAGAAAGCTAACATTCATTTGTTTTGTAAAGGGGAACGCTTTGTCATTTGTCATTGCCAGCCTTTGCTAACAAGCTCAGGATGTAGGCTAGGAGGAGCCTGTCCAGAGGGAAGCCCAGCAGGGACCTGCGAAGAAGAAGCGGCCAAGCCCTCCAGTGGTTCCCCGGCTTCCGAGGTGGGGGAGGGGGTCTGTTGCCCAGGAGCCCCCACTGCAGCTTCATGGCCACTGCTGAGGTGCCTGTCAACAGCCCCCCGCCCCGGGAATTGCTTATCTTCCTCCCCAGCCAGAGAGGGTGAAGCCAAGACACCCCCACATCTGCAGCTCTCCAAACAAGATACTACACCAATGACCTTTGTCCTGCAGTCTTCATCTGCTGAGCCCAAAAATGAATATTTACCATTAACCAGCAAGCCCATTAGGAGGAGAATCCATCGCATGCACTCTCTTTCTCTCTCTCCCTCTGCAGAGGGAAGTGCTTTTTCCTTTAGTAGCTCTCCATGCTGCCAGCCCAACTCCCCTGACCTCTGCCAGGGCTGTCCTGGTTTACAAAGCAGGGTCTGGACTTAACAGAAGACATGTCCGTCCACTCCCACTTCGACTCTATTCCATGTGCTTGCAAATCCTTTTGATCTCTTAATACCCCGTGTGTATTCAGCCCTTGCTGTGGAGCTCAAAGGAGTGACCTCATCCTTCGTTGTCTTCCCCCGATGAGACGGGGAGAAACCAGGGCCATTTGACTGCCGTGGCTCGCCTGTGTCCCCATGGCAGGGCCATCCCTCCCGCGGTGCCCGTGCAGTGCGTGGGGCCGCGTGGCCAGTCTGAGTCCGGCCCGCCGTCCCCACACTGTCGGACAGCCCAGGAGGCTAGGACTTGACTCGAGGACAAGCTGCATTTGTCCCCATGCCCAGTCTGGGCCGGGCATGCACAGGAACAATACCCATATTCATACGACGAAGGGGTTTGCCAGTAAACCCACGTGACTTGACATCACGACAGATGTGGGGGGGAAAGGGGAGAGACACAAACGCTCCGTTGTGTGCACTCCGCTCGGGGCTGCCCAGGAAGCTCAGCTGCAGGCGGGCTGCACGGTTTGTTGCCTGCAAAGCCTCAGCTCTGGACTAAGGGTGCAGATGGGGGACAGTGAAGTCACTGTAACACCTGCCAAGGTTCTCACTGCACTGTCCCGTTGTGCATTGTGCGGAAACATCACAGACACGCTCTCTCAGCTTCAGCCAGCACTTCGGGGAAGTCTCTCTAGTCCCAATGAGTAGGGAGGGATCAGCAAGTATAGAAAGATGCACCACTGTGGTTCTGAGTGACGGCCCTCCGACCCTCATATCACCCAGAATCACGGCAGCCAGCATTTGCTGTGCACCTTTGGATCCTGTCCCTTCAGCTGCACTGCGAGCCCTGAGGTGGGCGTCGTTTGCCCTCCCGTCTCACAGATAGAAGGTCGTTGCACAGAGAGAGGCAGTCGCTTTCCCAGGGTCACAGAGCTGGCTCTCAAACCCAGACATGCTCTCCCCACGTGACAGAAGCCCCTCTCTGGATTGAACAGAACTCGCCTGCAAGACAGGGAGGCACGGGACCTCTCTGCCAGCTTCCCCATGGGGCCTCTGCACGGGGGAGTGGGACAGCTGTGACTTCTCCAGAATAGGACTACCAAGACTGGCCCCTCTGGGCCTTCCCTGGGGGGTGCCGGAAGGAAGGATGAGGACCAGGCTCCACTGTGTTCCCCTCCCAGGGTTTTACACCATGTTGGGTCCAGGCAAAAAGTCACTGACCTTCTCACTCAGATTGAGGACTTAGAAACCATGTCCTCACCCTCCCTTTAAAGGAGGATCCTGTTCACCCTACACCTGGAACAAATGATTTGCAACCCTAAGACCTCTTCAGTGTGCTTTAAGGGATGTTTTGAAATTTTCTAGCCACCGGACTCTCATTTTACTGATAAAGATACCAAGACCCAGAGAGGGAACGTGTCTTACCCAAGATCGTACAGCACGTAGTAGCAGAGTCGGGATCAAAGTGGGAGGTCTTCTGACCCCAGGCCTATGTTTTACTCACTAGAGCAAGTACTCATTCCTTGGCCAACACGTGCCCTTGGCCTTACTGACCATGCGTGCCTCACTTCCCCCCGGAAGCAGGGCAGGGAGGCACCCCTTCTGGGAATGAGGCAGAGCTGGCCCACCCTAAGCACGGCTGTTTGACCACTGCAACCCCTTCCTACCGAAGCCTGCGCTGACACGCTCTTCTGTCCAGGAAAAGCCAGCCCAAGGCTCCTCGCAGTCCCAGGAAGTCAGCCCCAGTCTGGAGGGTCTGTTTTAATTGGTGTGCGTGGGTTCATCTTGCTGGAAACAGCTGACAGACTGGATCGGTTTGTGTCCTGGGTCAAATCTGGGGATTTCTGTGGATCTCTTTGTCACGGTTAGGGGGACATGAGCACCTTCCAGAAAGGCAAGGGTAAGATGGGAGTGAGGGCCTGATGGGGTGGGGTCCTAGAAGACAGACTGGTGGGAAGGAGACTTAAGAGCAGAGATGGAGGAGCCTGTTTTGAAGGATGGGACACTTCCCCCCTGAGGGAGGGGTGATAAGGATGGGGGCACAGCCCAGATTCTTAGGGAGGGTATAAAGGAATTGCAGGACTGTACCTCCATACTATTGACTCCCTGCCTTGCCCTCTGTTCTCTCCCCTCAGGGGTTTATATTCTGATTGGAGCCGGTGCCCTCATGATGTTGGTGGGCTTCCTGGGCTGCTGTGGAGCTGTGCAAGAGTCCCAGTGCATGCTGGGATTGGTGAGTACCCTATCCACTCCCCGCAGCCACTCTGACCCCCAGACCCCTGCCCCCAAGATCTCATAGAACACATGCGGTGGGATGGAGTGAAGAGGGTTCCCTAAGGGCTTGAGCTCTCCTCAGCAACTCCACTGTAGGCCCCACCCCAGCCTCCTAGGAGGCAGCCATCTTGTCCTCCTCCCCCAGCAGCAATGCCTTGCTCCTCTTCCTTTCTGGAGCCTCTCTCTCTTATCACTTCCCTTAGGCGACTAAATGCCAGGACTTTGTTTTCCCCTTTTTCGAGGACCACGTTTGCTTTTTTTCCCTGAATCCACAGGTACCTTTGCTTTCTCTTATTTTAAGATTTGTTACAGTTTTCTTCAAATTCCACAGTATATTCTTTCTTTATTTCCTCAAATCCCTGTGGTTTTTGTGAGTGAGTGATGGTATTTTATCACTGACTCTTCATTAACACCTTAGAAGTACCAGTTCTGGGGTCAGCTGTGCCCCGTTCTTTCCTCCTGAGGAATCTCTTCCTACCACTGCTTTCACTCCTCACCTTAGCTAAGGCTCACAGTTCCATGAACTTCTCCCCTGTCCCTTCCAGGGTGTTCATTTGTGCCCCCAGATGCCCAACCCACAGAGACTTGCCATTCTTCCTTGGTCTCTAGAATACCCTTTGGTTGCTCTCATTGCCTGTCTGGGATTCCTCCTCATCCTATCCCTTCTTTGTCTTCTAGTTCTTCGGCTTCCTCTTGGTGATATTTGCCATTGAGATAGCTGCGGCCATCTGGGGATATTCCCACAAAGATGAGGTAGGTTTCTCCCATAAGATCTCTTGGGAGTAATACAGGTTTGGGAATTTGGGAGTGGGAATGATGAGGGCGGACAGGTGTCCCAGTTGGTCACTTCGGTCAGCTTTCAGCCATCGCACATGCCTCTTATTTCACCACACTCCCCTGTGCCCATCAGAATGTGATCTCCTCCAGGGAAGGGGATGTGAGTGTCCTGCCAGCCACTCCGTCCAGTTCCGTGGATGGTGCTGGCACATAATAGATGTTCAGGAAATAGTCACTGGGTCCGTGTATGTATATGTGTGTCTCACACAGCAGCAGCCCTGCCCCCATCTCCTCTGGAAAGATGGCTTAGGAAAACAAGACTTTGTGTGGGCTGGACCCACTACCACCCCTGCCCCTTCACCTAGTCTCTAAATATGTGCCTCCATGAGCTGAGTGCTGTCCAGACCCCACGTGAGTCCAGAGGTGTGCAAGCCGTGGGCCCCCCTTGAAGCAGCTGCCACCTGGGTGAAGGATATGCATGATAAGTGTCATAGAAGTCATTTATATCTAGAAGTTCCAAGGAGTTGGAGAAGGTAGCATGCCAAAGGGAACTCTCTTCTGGCTTCATGGAGAAGCAGGCATCAACACAAGCCTTGGATGAGAGAAAGGATTTCAGGAGGAAAGTTGGTGGGAGACTGAGTACTTTATTTTATTTTTTTTATGATGTTTCTTTATGTATTTATTTGAGAGAGAGAGAGAGAGAGAAAGCAAGCCTGAGCGGGGCAGGGGTGGCAGAGGGAGAGGGAGAAGCAGACTCCCCACTGAGCTGGGAGCCCAACATGGGGCTCAATCCCAGAACCCTGGGACTGTGACCTGAGCTGAAGGCAGCCACTTAACAGACTGAGCCATCCAGGTGCCCCCTGAAGACTTTCCTTTAAAGACAGCTGAACATGGGCTCCCACAGGGAGCCACTAAAGAGTTGTGGGCCAGGATAGGCCACATCAGAACAGTGTTTTAGGAAGGGCTTTCTTGGCTTGTTCAGCAGCAGTAAGTGCAGGGAGACTGGATGCTGGGACCCTGTTTAAAGAGACAAAAAAATAAAAGAGAGATTTAACTGTCCAGATATAAATGCTGCAACCATAGAAATAGGAAGGGATGCTAGCGGAAGTTGCTGAAGGAGAGATTCTGGATGTTGGTCAGGGCAAGAGACGGGCGTTTGTTAAACTAGGGTGTACCCCGGTGCAGGAGGAGAATAACTGTCCTTCATATTATAGTTGCTAATACTTATGCCAAATTTACTCTGTACCAGACACCATGCTAAGGCCTTAACATGCAGTATCTCCTGTAAATCCTCACCATAACCTCTGAGGCATAAACTCCTATAATCTCCATCCTACATACACAGAAAAGGAGGTACAGAGAGGTTTGGTAATTTGCCAGAAGTCACACAGCCTCTAAGTGATGAAGAAACAAAGGGAAGCCTGAGGAGCTAGCCTGGTCAGGAGTAGGATGTTGTTGTTACCGTTCTGTAGACTGGGGAGAGTCCATTTTGTTCACAAGTAGAAGGGAAGGAGCCAAGTTGGGTGGAAGGGACCGGCCAAAGGTACAAGAGAAGAAGGGTAAAATGGCTGGAGTGGGTTCCTAGGGATGTGGGAGGAGACGAGAAGGGCCCCGGAGGCCCTGGGAGAAGCAGGACCAGTCTGGTAGCTTCAGTCTATTCAGGGACATTCTCTGAGCACAGGAATCTGTTGTCTGAGCAGGAACAAGATCAAACAGGTGACATTTGTCCAAGAAAATACCCTTTCTGCCCCTCTCTTTTCTGCCCATCCCAGGTGATTAAGGAAGTCCAGGAGTTTTACAAGGACACCTACAACAAGCTGAAGTCCAAGGACGAGCCCCAGCGGGACACCTTGAAAGCCATCCATTATGCGGTACGTCACCCCCGCAAAAGCTCCTTGGGCACGCGTGTGCGCACAGGGGCCTGAGCACACCATACCCGGCATCTGTATTCTGGTGGTCTGCATTGTTCGTCTCTCTCACCCATCCCTGCCCTTCCCTCTGCAGCTGAACTGCTGTGGTCTGGTTGGTGGAGTGGAACAGTTTATCTCCGACATCTGCCCCGAGAAGGATGTTCTGTCAACCATCACAGTGAAGGTAAACTCGTGTGCCCCCGCCGGCTGCTCTGGACCAATCCCACCAGGGTTGACCTGAAATCCTGCCCTCTCCTCCTGGGAGGAGTTCTCCTCCTATGCAAGGGCCCCTCAGTGGGTCCATCTCTTTTCTCCCCTCCCCTAGGCCTCTGCTTCCTCAAGGGCAGCAGAACAAGGACCAGACCAGGGAAATAATGAAGTATTTAGATGTGCCAACAGTTCATGATTGGAAGCTGGACCTAATGTCCAAACTTCAGAATAATCAGAAGTAACCCAATGGCCTGATGGGAACTAGACCCCAAAGCAGGGGCTTACCCTTCTTCCTTCCCTTATTTCTTACCCAGACTTTAGGGACCCACCTCCATATCCCTAGGGTCTCACTTCCATCCACCAGCCAGGACACCTGGGCACTCCTGTCCCCAGTCCTTTCTGGGACCCCCAGCGTTCCTGGTGTGAGACAGGTGCTATGGGAGGGAGGAGGTACACTGGAGCAGGGATTGCGTGTGACCTGAGTCCTGGTTTGCCCCCCTCAGCCCTGCCCTGAGGCCATAAAAGAGGTCTTCCACAACAAATTCCACATCATCGGCGCGGTGGGCATCGGGATTGCGGTCGTGATGGTGAGTATTGAGGACACCGGGAGAGAACGATTGTCTTAGTGGTTTACATCCATGAAGCACACACTCTGGCCAGGGAGTGTGTTAACTCATCAATTACTTTATCAACTAATTTAATCCTCACCATACCTATGAGTGTGAGCTATTGGTATGCCCCTTGTACAGACTAGGGAGTGGAGAGACAGGTTGAGTTGATCAAAGCCTCTGAGCTCATGTGTGAAGCATCTGGGATTTGAGCTCCGTACGTATCTCTCCAGTACGTGTTGGCTTACCATCAAGGTTCAGGAGTAAGTGTAAGGTGATGCCAGTGCTGCTGGTCCATAGACCACACTCTGAGTAGCAAGGGTGTGGGTCACCCAGACCTGTTAGTTAGCCTGGGATAATCTTCAGGACATGTTTTTGTTATGCACCTGCTTTGCTTTTCCCCAAGAAAGTAGTTCAGTAGAAGTTACATGGATGGGAATTGTTTCACACACACAAACACACACACACACACACACACACACACCCATAGTCTGAAAGGCCAGAAGGAAGATTCCACACACACACACACCCCATAGTCTGAAAGGCCAGAAGGAAGATTCCAGGCTTCAGATAATCTACTGTCCTGCTAATCAGCACTCTCAGAAACCATTAAAGGGCAACCAGGATTCCCTGCAGTCACCCCCTTTTGCCCCAAAAGGGAGTAGTAAGAACCATGTAGGGGACTTAGCCCTCCTCTGCCCCAGTAAGACTATCCCAGAAGTGAGAATTTCTTCCTTTCTTAGTGGTTATTTACACCTAAGAAAGGCTTGAGGCCACTTTCAGTAAAAACCATAACAGTACTTCTTAAAATGGAATATAAAACAGAGACACACACATAGGTGGAAAGCAGTACAAGCCTGTGTGGAACATTGGAATATCTGCCCTTTGAGCATTAAATTGAGCTCTGAGCTTATTTGTCATGCTCTGGAAGTTTCCTCAGGGAAGTGGCTTGTGCCGTTTACATGAGCAAGTCACTGCAGACCCGCAGAACCCCAGCAGTCAGTGACTCTTCCCGTTACCCAGCCCCCGTCTCTCCTTCGGCACCCCTCAGCGTGCCTGGCCCTGTGGTCACTATCCTTGTTTGTCTTGGCCCGGATGACTCATGTCTTTCCTCTCCCTCACCCTTCCCTCGGCAAAGCCGCCCTGTTCCTCATGTTCCCTTCTGTCTTCTAGATATTTGGCATGATCTTCAGTATGGTCCTGTGCTGTGCCATCCGCAGGAGCCGAGAGATGGTCTAGAGTCAGCTTGCACCCCTGAGCAGGAAAGTCCAGTCCTGAAGATTGTCGGTTATTTTCTTGGGGTTCTGTTTTTTAGCTTTGGGGGTTTTTTTTGTTTTGTTTTTATTTTTGTTTTGGGGAGTTTTTTGGTGTTGTCTTTTTCTGGTTTTTTGACTTTTTTTTTTTTTTTTTTTTTTTTTTTTTTTTTTTTTTTTTTTTTTTTGCCACTAACCCTAGTATTCATTTCTGCATTTCTAAACAAAAAAGTTATTCCATGTTTGTCTTTTTAATGCTTTATTCAATATTGGTATTCGTAGTTGAGAGATTTGGGGATTTGGTTTGCTTTGGTTTATATTTTGTTGTTGTTGTTTGTTTTGCTTATTATGTTAAGCAGAAATCCTGCAATGAAAGGTACTATATTTGCTAGACTCTAGACAAAAGATATTGTACATAAAGAGAATTTTTTTTTTCTTTAAACAGATAAAAAAATGTCTATCATACTTAATCAGGTTGTAACTTATGTTGAAGACAATTTGATACGTAATAAATGATGACGATATCCTGGACCAGTTTTTGGTTTTTGTTTCCTGTATATTTTTAAAGCTGTTTGTTTTTCAGATGTCTTCTAACCTCATTTATTTGAGAATTAGGTTAGAAAGTTGGTCTCCCTACTTGACTAATGAAGAAAGCAAGACAGGAAGGGATTTTGATCCCACATCACACAGTTGTTATTAGAGTCTGCACCAGAACCTAGCCCATGCCTCTTTCTTGTATCATAGGTTGTATGTCAGGAAGATAGCAGTAAATGTGACCTCCCTGTTGGCGAGGGACTTAGTTTTCTTCACTGCTCTACCCCCAACACCTAGAACCTACTGTCTCTGGTGTGTAGTAGGTGCTCAATAAATATTTGTTGGCAACTAATATTTGTTAATAAATGAGGGCATTTGATCAGGGAGGCAGAATATTAAATGTTAAATATTATATATATTATAATTTACATTTTATATATGAGAGAGAGAGAGAGAGAGAGAGAGAGAGTGTGTGTGTGTGTGTGTGTGTGTGTGTGTGTGTAATTTGCTACACGGATTTGACCTTGTACGATCATTAGAGTTGTTTGCATAGTCTCTTTAAGACCGTTGGCTTTGCATCAGACATAGGAACTTGAAGCCTTGAGGTCAGGGGGCAGACAGGAAGGACACCTGGATGTCCTTGGGGAGAGCAAGAACAGGCCAGAACTCAAACAGGAGCTTGAGAAGACCGACAGCTCTGTGTCAGTTCTTGTTCCTCTGATGGGGGTGTGGGTCCTGCAGAGGCTAGCACTCTGTGTTAGAGCTAAACACGGGCCAGGAGCTGGAGGAGCTGACATGAGCCAGCAAAATAAGCAACAGTTTTGTGTGAGCTGCAAAATGTCTCATTACCTTTCAGGCCTCCCATGTGAGGAGGGGGAAAACCCAGGGTTAGCATGCTTGCATCTCATTGCTATTCTGTGGCCCCAGGAGCCGCATTAATCTGAGCATTTGAGGGCTAATTGTACTGTTTCAATGTGGAAATAGCAGGTCAACTCTTCTTTCTATGAAAATGTGAATGAGCCCATCTTAAGTCAGCATCATAATCCCTGGTTAATTCTAATATCTGCCCTGTTGGTGACTGCCAGCTCCCTCTAGGTAAAGCAGGTTCCATCTACACACTTTCCACTCTGCTCCTCTGCTGAAGAGTAGGTGGGGTCAGAGTATAACAGATTTGCTACTACTTAAATTGAGGAATACCTCGGCATTATACCCTGTCTTCTCAGTTTGTCATAAATAATGGGTCAATTGGCTAGCTTAAGCGAAAGCTTAAGAACACAAGTAGTGTCTCCTGGAACCCAAGAATGGAAACACAGTTGAGCCATAGGAAGTTTCTGGAACCACGGACTAGGAACTCCTGCAGCTATGCACTTCTGAGTGCTGTGTTCTGCTCCCCAAAGAGACCACTTGTCTCTGCTACTCCGTCCACATGGATTGCAAAGAGAGCTGGTGTTCAACCCCCAAGTTTATTCAGACAACCTCCAGTAGCCTCACTTGACATTTCAGGAAAGAAAATCTGCCCCAGTTTTCAGTGCAGTAACTATCCCTGACTTCAGTGGAGGGGTACGTGTAGTAAAGACTCATCCATCCTCTTACCTGTAGACTGAACCTAAGATCAGAAGCGGAGGGATCACTGAGAGCTGGCAGACCCCAGAAGGGAGCCAGCTCGTCCACGCTGTGCCCAGTCCAGCCCAATAAGCTCGCCCTGACTCCTGGTGGATGGGTCTAGTTGAAGGTCTACAACTAAGGCAAAACCAAGATCGGCCAATGCTCTCAGGGCCTGAAGGGCTTTTGGAAAAAAGTCCTTCAGGAAGTTATAGGTCACAAAAAGGCAATAGACTGCCAATAGCAGTAATAGGTATGGGTCCAGAAAGAACCTCCTTGGGCAGAAGAGGAAGGGAAACACAGCTGGATGTGTCGGCCTCTTGGTTCAACTGGGAAAGGCAGAGCAGGGGCAGCAAATTTGAATATAAACAAATGGATAGTAAAGGTTATTACAGGTTATTACTTTACCTGGTGCCCTTCAAGGACTGAGAGTGCTTTAATATCCCCAAACCACGCCTTCTACTGTGGAGCTGAGTGGCGCAAGGGTGGAGGCAAGACCATAGGTATCAGGCACTCCTCCCATGCTTCGCCATTTCCTCAGCGAAGAAGTCTGAACTAGCGCATCAGGACACTCCCAAAGGGCAGCGTATTTTTGTTTCACTGAAAATGAAGGATCTCCTGAGCCGCTTGGGCACAGGATGGAGTAGTCTGGGTGGTCTTCCAGCACAATCAGATCCATAGCTGGGTGAACACTCCCATACAAGAGGAGAGATCCACTGGTGGGCTTGGGGTTGGGGAGACCCTGCTTTGCCCTTTCTGGTCAGTGTTTTAAATAATTTGGAATATTATGAAATATTACAGGTTTCACAAAGCTCTGAGGAATACCCAGTAATGTGAGTAACACAATTATAGTTCAAAGAGATCTCAGGATTTGGAATAATGGATTATGACACCCAAAGGATATATCTTACGAGGAATAAATAATAACTAAGTGAAATCAAGCAGTCTACAATAATATGTTTAAACACAGTTCCTCATCCCTTAACACTTCTAGCTGAAGAAGAAGTTAAGTGCGTGTTTGGCTGGCTAGGTAATAGGGTTTTTCTCTCATGCATTAAGTCTGGAGACAACTACAGGTGTTGATTCAGCAGCTAAACACTCACAAAGATGGCATCTCTGTGATTCTCTTGGCTTTCCTCTGTCACAAGGTAGCTGCCATGGCTCCAACCATCTCTACATTCACAGCAGGAAGTAGAAGGGCAAATCCTTGCTACAAGTATCCCATTTATCTAAAATGCAAAAGCTTGGGGCACCTGGGTGGCTCAGTGGGTTGGGCCTCTGCCTTTGGCTCAGGTCATGATCCCAGGTCCTGGTATCGAGCCCCACATCAGGCTCCCTGCTCAGCAGGAGCCTTCCTCCTCTCTCTCTCTCTCTCTCTCTCTGCCTGTCTCTCTGCCTACTTGTGATCTCTGTCTGTCAAATAAATAAATAAGATCTTTAGATTAATTAATTAATTGATTAAAAAAATAAAATGCAAAATCTTCCCCCAAAAGCTCAGAAGCTAACTTCCATTCATGCATCATTGACCAAAATCTGTCACATGAGTACTCAGCGACAAGGGTGGCTGAGAAATGAGTATGTAATTATGCCAAACTACAAAGAAGATGGGAAAGGGTCAAATGCGTTATGGGTATTTCATTCCATTTTAAAAGTTTGAAGATTCTGGGGCACCTGGGTGGCTCAGTGGGTTAAGCCCCTATCTTCGGCTCCGGTCATGATCTCAGGGTCCTGGGATCGAGCCCCACATCAGGCTCTCTGCTCAAAAGGGATCCTGCTTCCCCCTCTCTCTGCCTGCTTCTCTGCTTGCTTGTGATCTCGCTCTGTCAAATAAATAAATAAAATATATATTTTTTTAAAGTTAGAAGATTCCATTTTAAAGAAGAAGCTCAGTATTTGCCCCCAGAACATACAATTAATATATTGGATACAGGTTTGAATCCAATTCTATTTTTCTCCAGTCTTACTGCACATCTCACATAGTGGTGCCTCCAGGATTAATAATACCACAGGAAGAAATTTAACAGGAACATACTGGAATCACCTGATTGGAAGAACTCACTACATAAATGCAGGATGGAGAAATAACTTCATTTGAAAAAAAGGACAAAGAAATGTAGCTTACCACAAACTTAAAAGAAGCCAAAACTATGAGGTGAGGCTGTTACAGGTTCCATCCAGAGACGTAGGTGTCTGGATGGAGGGAGGTAATAAAGCTACCACAGATGAAGCAGTCAGGCCCTAGGGCAGTATGGTGCTCCACTCTGGGGCCTGTCCTCAAAAAGTAAGGGAGCCAACTAAAAGACCTAGAGATAGGAGAGACCTTGGGGAGGGATTGAAACCATGTCATCCCAAAGGAGAGTGAAGGACCAAAGGATTCTAACCTGGGTGAGGTGGGGGGAACCAACACGCAACAATCTTGGTTTCCAAATATCTAAAGAGCTGTAGGGTAGACCAGGGACATATGTGGTCCCAGAGACCGCAATGAGAACTCATGGCAGAAATAACAGGGAACAGATGTTGGCTTAAAACAAGGAAAACTCCTTGGAACCTGGGGCTATTGAACAGAATGGTGGGCCCCAGAGTATGAAGGAGGCTCCAGGAGAATCTGGAGACGGGGTATGCCAATCCCTGCACCAATGGGGCCTTGAGGAACCCCGACATCCCTCCCATCTCTAAAATCATATAGAGATGTACGCCTCCAAGCAAATACTCAGTGTTGAGGTGGAAGAATTTTCTCTGCTGTTCAAGATCCTTCCAGTTGGACTAAGAATCAAATTGACAGGAGGCAGATTAACAGTAGAAAGCCATATTTAAGAGCATACATACAGGGAATCCACACAGACATGGAAATTCCAAAGATAGGCAACATGATACTTATATAAGCTAAAGAGGGGGGTAAAGATATGAGGATACAAAGGGTTTCAAGGAAGACCAGGAAGGTGAAAAGAGATGCTTGCAAAACAAAGGTTGCCCTATTATGCAGATAAATGTCTTAGGTAACATGGAATCTTTGTTAATAGCTCTCTTCCTGGTACAAGCAGGCAGTTGAGGGGGAGGTAGAGAACTTTTCCTGAATGTGCTGGGTTTTGATGGCTTTTAATTCAAAATAATATTTATACCAAAGTGGCCCATCTTGGGGTACCTGCCCTTGGTCCTTCCATCAGGAAGCCAGTGCTCTCTCTATATATGTGTTTTCCTTTTCATTATCGGGGGAGAGGGGTGAGAGTGAGGAGAGGACCTCTAATAAAGGTTAAAGTAATAGGAACCATGAATATGGGCAACCCAAAAATATTTCAAAATAATGTTTTCTATCTGAAACTGTTGCATATTTTCCATATTCAGTGCCATTGCTGGGCTCTTCAAGATGCAGGGAAAAGAGCACCCCAGCCCTTAAA